AGTAACTGAGGACGTTGGTGGGGACAATGTTGACATGGTGTTTACTGAGCTGTGTACATCTCTTACCTTCTCATTTTGCAAAAGACCACTCTATAAATAAAAGAATATGTTGAAAATTTTAGGCAGGAAGATTGTAGCTTGGAAAGAAAGAGAATGCCTACTCTCCATGCTGATCTGATAAAGCCCACTACTGTAACTAGATAGAAGACAGGACTATACAATGTAGAGGTGAAGGTCAACAGAGTCATACATAAGAAAATACACAAGAAACCTGTTCACAATAGGCACATGCAACGTTATGCTCAGTAGTAAAGTAGTTAAGTATTTAGATAGACAATTATAAGCCATCAACAATGTGAACAGCTCATAACTTCATACTCTACTTACCTTCAAAGTAGCCACCATATATGGACTCTCCTCCTCTTCCATTTCCTGCAGAGGGTACAACAATTAAAACGTGTTGTATTTGAGTCAGATGATATGTGCACACTAGGTAAGTTATTACATAAAAAAGGTGTCTCATACAAAATCTGAGGTGTTTTAACACAAAAAAAACACTCTGACTTTCTGGTGTGTAAAACCTTTGTAGTAATTGTTATCTACATGACTCTCTCCCATAAACACTTTTTCACTTGCTACACTTAGTTATTTGCTGCTCTAAAAACAGTGCTTGCCATTGGCAGTATAGCGCAATATTGTTTTGGCGCAGTGAAGAACAGATTTCAGGGGAAATAAAACTGCAGTTTTATCTGAGTGAGACGTAAATACCCTAAAGACCTGGTTTTGGATCGGTACATAGATTTATGTACTCGTCGATGCCCGACCAGGCATTTCCGAACATTTCTAATTAACTTTATTTTGTTGATTTGTTTAAACACACATTTTCAAAGTAAATTAAGTCGCACATCAGAAGTTATTACCTTCGGTGAAGTCGCCTCCCTGGATCATGAAGTTCTTTACAACTCTGTGAAATGTGGAGCCTTTGTAGCAAAGCTTTTTCCCTGTGAGTTTGCCAATTCCCCTTTCACCTGCAATTAGATGCATGTTAACTGAGCTCTCAAAAAGACAACAGGAAGCATAGAAAACAGGCGTGCTGCTGCACACTGTGTGTGAACCAGAAGCCTTGAGGTGTGAAGAAATGTTGATCTTGAATGTTGTTGCATGCTGTTATTCTACAAGGGACTGAAACCACAGCTGGTTAAAGGGTGTGATGCTTTTGTTCAGGCATCTTGTTGTTAATACTCCAGTGCAGGATTCATTAAGAAATCTTCCACTGGACTGAAACTGTCTGGGGAAAGAACAGTGGCCCAAAGCTGTTACCCCAGGGATTACTCTTTCCTCTGGGGTGAAAGGAGACGGGAAAGCAGAGATTTCATTAGATGTGATGATGTCTTTAAGGTTGGTTTCAGCAGACAGAGGACTGGCTGTTCAAACAGGCAGCTAGGGTTGCTAATCTTTTAGTATTCTGCTTCACCGGCTTCAGGTTTTTTCTAAGGGTTTGGTTTCTTACAGAGATAGCTGATCCCCTCCTAAAAGGACACATTAGAGATTCTGAGAAAGCCACAACCGCAATCTACCCAGCTGACTCACGTTTATTGTATGTATGTTGTGAAATGGAGTCTGGGTGTGTTTGATATGTTCACCAGGCAGGAGGAAAAATGAGCGAGAGCATCGATCTGCCGTCAGATTTATGGCTATCTCTAGGCAGACCACCACCACAGGTACAGTACACTGTGTTCTGCTCAGTGGGACAGACCACGACCCCTCTATCCATCCAGTGACTCCATCTGTCACTGTAACGTTAACAGTGCAGCCATACCTCTTTTCCACATGGTATTAAATGACCAAAGAGGGGTGTGAAGCCTTTTACCGTGTTTTTTTTGTTCCACTTTCCATTCCCCTGCTACTTACAGGAATAATTTTGTACAACACAGAGGAAGGATTATACAAAAAGAGAAGTGAAATGTGACAGAGAACAGACCAGATTCAAACCAAGAAATGTATTGTTGTGTAGAATGTACACAGGCAGCCAGTGTACCCAGAGGGTCTTTGGTTATATAGAAGAGGAGCAGTCAGTTGTATAGAAACTTTCTGAAACAAACATTATGAAAAGCACTGAATGCTGAAAAAGATTTTTTCAACATTCAGCAAATTTGAGTAAAACATTCACTTGACTTAAAATACTCACCAGTGCACAAACTGAGAAAGTTTTTGCTTGTCTTGGGACAAACGTCCAAAAAAAGTTGAAAGACTATGCGCCCAACTGGAAAACAGAAATGAAAAAAGTTAGCAAAAGAATGAGTCCTTCATTTATTTACAAAGACAACTTCAATATTAACTGTGTTACAAAAAACTATTCACAAAAAGTCAACAATGGAGGAAATTCATGGCAAAGGCATACAATTAAGAATTACAATTTAATAGCCCTTAAGTTACTGTGCTGTGCACTTTTAATTGGCTTCTGACCCAAAACAACAAGGATCCCGTGGTGAAGCTCAGACATTATAGAAACTTTTCCATAGCTAGAAGCAAATCTAGACTTTATTACGACCATTCAGCACAAACACGATTAGTCACAATAAACCAGTCAATAGTCCATTGTACTAGTTTTAGTTCCACTTGTATTTTGTACAAAAATATGAATCAATAGCTCTGAGTCTAAGACGAAAAGTAAATACACAAAGTTTAAAAAAATTTTATTCATGGTGTCAATTCAAAGTAATCATCTACCAAAATGAGGCCAGGATGTTTATATGACTAACTAATCCTCAAAACTGAATTTAAAATTCTCCTACCTGGCTCCCGGTTGAGCTCCACATCAAAGTAACACTGAGGGCAATCTTTCACCCCCATTGTGATCAAAGTCCAAGTGACCTAAAATGTGGGAAGAGTACAAAAGAAATAAAAAGCTGTGCAGGAAAAATAACAATGCTGTCTTCTTTTAAAAAAGCAGAAAGAGCCCCATTCAGGATCCCCATTCATCAGCCATGAAAGTACAGCATGCTGAGAACAGTGTGTTTGAAAACAATGTAGAGAGACTAAGGGACAGAGAGAGGGAGGACAGAAATAGGAGGAGAGAGAAACGTGGGAGGGGAGAAGGAGAGAGACATCTGTGAGGAAACGTGGTGATGGAAATCCAAGCAGAGCTCAGCCTCCACACTGTAAATTTTAATGCTGTTTCCATTGAGGAACTGGGAATCACTGTGTGACAGCTTACAGACTGTGAAATGTCCTCAACTAGAGCCACTGAGGCCAGGGGCTGTATGACTCTGGAAATGGAAGGAAACTGAACAGAGGTGAAGATTTTCCTTAATGACAGCAATGCACCCTGAGTCATGTTTATGAACAGCTGAGGCTTGTAACCCACACTTTCCAAATTTTCATGTTTAATCTCCTGTAATTTCCAAGGCGTGTCACAGGCTGTCGCATTGAATTAGTTTGATTTTAACTATGTGGACAAATAGTCACCGCAATGATGTAATTGTTGCTTGATAATATTACACGTCAAAATATTTACCCTCTCCAGATGATGAGGAAATCAAGGCACCGGTTTGTGCACAAAAACGTTAACATCCTTAATCACAATTTCAACACATGGAAACATTTGTCCTGTCAACAGTTTGTGTAGGGAGGCAACACAAGCTGACTGGGGAACATTTTGCTTACGCTGTAGTCTTGACAAGTGGAATATGGAGAAGGCATTACTGAGCTCAACTTCATTTCTGGCCCCCGAGAGCAGTAAACAACCACTGACACCGACAGTTTTCACTAGATCAAAACTTGTGTCAAACACTTAGTAGTGCAACACATAAGAGGACTAATTGAAGAGTATGAGACAAACATTACTGCAACCTAATTTGGCAACAGTCGCCTCCTTGAATTTGCTGTGGAACAACGCTCTTATTGAGAAGAATGATTTATTTGCAGTCTGTGCCTTCCTGTTTGTACAACAGAGGGCCTTCAGAATAATGTGCAAGGACAAAACCTGCTGAAGGACAAGTGCAGCTTGGATGCATGAGTTCATTTTATTATCTTGAGTGTGATATAAAAGCAACTTGAAACTTTTACCATGTGCCCAATCAACATCTGCATTTCACACGTGAGGTATAGTGACACACTTCTTTACATCAGTTCATTTGACAGCTGCTGAGCGGTGGATCCTCAACATACAACATGGACTGAGATGTCAATGAAAGAAGAAAAGGAGCAGTGAAAGTGAAACAGACTGAAGACACAAATAAAGCCCCATCAGCTCAGCTAACCATCATTCAACACAAAGACAGGAATGCATTGTATTTATAGCCAAAACCATATCGAGTTACAAAGCGGGACAGTGTTTAATGTGCTGGGTTTGGCATTTTCAGCTTGTAAAACTTTACTGTGAACTTCACAAAGAACTGTACACGGTCATTTGAGCCGAATGTCTGACAGGCCATAAAACCCACACCGGCTAAAAACAAAACCCTGATGGATTCTCTAAGAGTCATCGGAATATAAACGTAAAGAGCCATAAACATTGTTCACTCGCACGAATTGCTGTGAACCCGAAGATGTCCACATTAAGGGTTTGCATAGCATCGGCTAAAGTGGCTGACAGACAGTGAGACACGTTTGACTGGAGATAAAACAATGGTACTATGAAATCAAGCCGTGCTGAGAGCCAAACATCACCTAGCTACACAGCTAACAACAGCTCGCGACGGCTAACAACTGCGCTTCCATCATGGTTGAGCTAACAGCTAGCTATTAGCTTAGCAGGCGTCCTTTAGATTTCTCTATTAGCTGCGGAGGCTAATTAAAGTTACCATGATACTCACACTACAGCTACTGTGCAGAAGTAAATTAAATAACAAACCTCTGTGCAGCAGCTAGCCGGACAGTTAGCTAGTCACTGACGGTCCGGGAAGTAGCATGAGCTAACTCCACTGTGGTACGACTGTTTGTCGCGTGTTAGCTTCTGTCCCTCCTGAGCTCCCGTAGAGGATTTGTTGTCGTTTGTTGTGACCAGGAAGCAAATAGCACGTTAGCTCGTTTGCTATTATTATTTTTTTGTTATTTAAATTCCATACCCGGTTCTTCAGTTTCTCAGTATTAATCGCAGTTAATATAAAGTATAAGTTTGAAGTTGTGGCTGACTTCCTGCTGTCGGAGTATTTTTTTGGGATATGATGCTAGTTAGCTAAGCTATAGTAGCTAAGTAACAAGGTGCAGCATGAAAGCCATGATAATGAGGTAAGGTGTAACAGAGAAGGACTTTTTATTATAGTATTTAACTCTTGCTGTCACATTACACATTTCCAAGTGGGATTCAAACCTCAGACAACCTTGTTTTCAAACCTGCGCAGTTTCAATTATACACTTTGTAATGTTAAAAGTAGTTTGGTCCATAACAGTAGTGCTAACCATACTTATCTCCATGATTTACCTCTGAGGAAACTTTAATTAAATGTAATTATTGGTTCTGCTGAGGTGTAATTACACTGGTCGTTAGCACACAGGGGTTTGTGGTATTTAATCTGATATCTAGATCTAATGCAAAATGAATAATCTGTCACAGAATAACGCGATGTACCTAAACAACACAGCAAGACTCTAAAATGTAAAACTCGTGATGAACGGCTTTCAATTACATGAAGACAGGTTGTATTTGAGGGCTGCTCTATTGCACTGTAATAGTTTTAATCAAGTGTACCTAATAAAATGGCATGTTGAAGTGTATAATTATTTCTTGTCTGTAACAATAGTAATAATAATATTGTATGTGTATAATGCTTTCAAGCATTATTGTAAGTATTTTGCGTGATAAGGCTCTGTAGCTTCAGGTTCAGTGCTTATGCAACTTACTGATGATTCATTAGTTATTTAATCAATCAAAAGTTATTGATGAGAAACAAAGAGCAGATATATTGTCTTTTGAGACAGTAAATGTCCTCTCTGTGGCTGACAGACTGCTGTTTAGGTAAAACAAGACATTTGAAGATGTTGGTTTGACCTTCAGGATTTGTTAAGAAAAGGATGATTGAAGATAATTTCTGAAAATGTAGTTACAACCCTAATTTAATAATCCTTATGATCTGATCTTCCTCCCATGCAGGCATTGTGTTCTTCATGGACCCAGTGGATCATGTCTCTGATCCTGTTCGCCTTCGTGGTTCGTGTCAGGGATGGACTCCCCCTGTCGGCCTCCACAGACTTTGAACACAACCGAGAGCTCCAGGAGAGGAAGCAGCAGCTCAGGACCATCAGCAAAGTGCTGGGACGCTTCCCTGACAGAGGCTCCGTCAAGGGCCAGGAGCTCAACATATTGTAAGAACTGAGAAATCAAAGACACTGTTATGTACATCTTAAACCCGAAGACGGACAGAATGTCTGTTTGATCGCAGGGGTGTCCATGCAACGCTGTGTCAGGCTGTTTGTTTACTTAACACCTTCTCTCCTCTCAACTGTTCAGCTTCATCTCTTCAGAGGGTGTATCCTACATGACTGTGTGCCACTGCAGCCTCCCTGTTGCTAAGGCCTTCTGCTTCCTGGAAGATCTGCGCTGGGAGTTCACAGCATGCTTCAAAAGCACTGTTGTTGCCTTGGCAGCCAGGCCATATCCATTTTTGGAATTTGGTGAGCAGAAAGAGACACTGTTACATAGATGTACTGTTGATTTCATGGGATTTTGTGTGATGTGTTGTCTTCTTTAAATTCTAATGAAATAAGTTGGTTTACACAAATCTGGTGTCTCTGCTGCCAATCCGTAGACGGCACCATTCAGAAGCTGAAGCAGCAGTACAACCAGAGTGGTGGTCCAGCCCTCGAGGTGACGCTGGCAGAAGTCCAGGAGGATTTGAGGATCCATCCACTACAAGTAATTAACTTGGATGAGGTGGAGCTCACCAACGGCATCGCAAATGGGCATATGGAGCAAGGACCTGGATCTGGTAAGACTTGTAAAATTAGCAATACTGTAAAACTCTCAAAGTCTACAACAGAACTGTAACATGGTTTTATAAGTAGATTTTTCATCATGTTCAAGTAATTCACAAATGATGAACATTTCTCAAAAACATGTTTTTTATGGTACACTATTCTCTTCCTTTCATGAAACAGGTCAGAATGTGAGACTCCAACCAGTGACAGCTCCAGGCATCCTGTCTCTGGTCCTGAACATCGTGTGTGCGTCGTTGAACGTAATTCGTGGTGTGCACCTCATCGAGTACACGTTCCAGGTAATAGTCAAGATAAACTACTGAATTTGCAGCATGTTGATTATATTTTATTTGTACAAAAACTATATATAAATTGTATTTCATGCATAAGCTGTTATAAACCACAGATATTGTTTTCACTGGTGATGGTTTGCGCAACACTGCACAGATTATTGACACAAATGTTTCTTAGTATAACATTTCTAACAACATTTTTACCCTAATGCTAAATCACCACTTTTCCTTTACGCAGGATGACTATGAAGGTGTATGGAATGTTGTGGCATTTCTTTTGGCGTTTGTCTGCTGTGTGTTTCAGGTAAATCTGTTTTCTAAATACTTTTTCCTAACCATCATCACACTGTGTCCCTGCGATCATCGAGACATTAAGCTTGTGAATAAACTCCCTGTTTCTTCAGTGCCACCTCTACCTGTTCCATTCATCCCTGAAGAAACTGAAGTCCTTCACTCTGTTGAGCGTGGTCGTCCTATGCAACTTGTACCTGCTCGGCCTGAGGAACATATGGCAGATGATCTTTCACATTTCAGTCGCTTCGCTGGCCACTGTCCTCACCCTCACCCGCAAAGTCCAGGACAGAACCAATGACTGTGGGGTGTGAGGAGCTCAGGATACTTAACAGTGTGTTGCACCTCATCCAGCTATTTGTGTCTCCAGGTTACAGCACAGGTGAGAACAACATGGATGAAAATGTGTTGATCCAGTTTTGGTGATGCCCTGCCCTTTAACAAAAACCTTCACAAACTTTGTGTCGTCATAGAAAATGACTTGTGTACTTGCACTTTGTGTGAACTGTTTTACTACACTGCACCAAACAGACACTGAAATGCAGTTTTTTTTCTGGTTTCTTACAAATATCTGGTTAACCTTAAAGTAGCTCTGTAAAATGAAGCAAAAAGGAGACTGGAAACTTCAGGAACAAAAAGGTGGATCAATCTCCGTCAGACCCGTCCTGTTCAAAATGTTTGGGAAGAAGATGCAGGAGTTTACTTTTTTTATTTGTTGACCAAAGTTTTCTCACAGAAACAATAGTTGTTGTTGAAGCTGGTTATACTTCTGATTTTAAAATAAGAGCTCAGTATTATTTCTGCAACCAGGGGTCATTGATTATCTTTGTAATAATCAGTTTACAATGCTAAGTGGCGGTTCTTGATTGTAACATTTGATTTAATTTTACTTGAAAAATAGGCAATTAGAAAGATAATTAAAAACTCAATTTGGCATTGAGATATTTAAACTATTTAGTTTGATTAAAAAGTAGAGAAATCTAAGTNTCTCTTTACTATACCTTTTGCTAGTGACTCATATCGTGAGAGAAAATGTATCCTGCAATGTTTGTTTATGTTTACTTAGGATAATAACCATACTATGCCACAAAAAAATCAATACTGCACAGAATCTGGCCTCAAATGACTTCACCAGCGCAAGATGGCAGCACCGTTATGCAAGATATTTTAGCTACATTTTTTTGACAACATTGATCAGAACTCTTGCTTAAAAAGTAGACGATGTGTTGATTTGTGTGCAGACTGTGTTGATAAATGAGTTCCAAATTTGAGGTAAAAAAAAAAAAATTGTCATGCATTTGGGTTTTGCAACAAAGAAGAGAGCTTTAGGGGTAAGGTTAAGCATATTTATTTCACTCTGAATGAAAAAAGAGAAAAAAAAACATTTGAAGGTGAAGTCAGGGGGAAAGTCAGAAGCTAAACAAAAATGTCAGAGCTCCTTACTGAACCTGTTTGTTCTAATTTCTTCCCTAATTCATCCCTAGATACTGAAATTTCACTGGATAATTAAACATTTGAAATGCTGTGACTCAGAAGTTCATTAAAGCCATTAAGATAAATTGACTTTAATGAAAAATTATTGCATGGCTTCAGTAGCTATGGAGATAATCAGTATGTCTGAACCAAAGTAGTTGACCAACCAAAACTTCCATCCCAACATCTACACTGCTCGAAAGTAGTCTTTTAAATTAGTTTTACCATGGGAGTTTGCTTTTTCTCCGTGTGTCTGTGTGGGTTTTCTCCAGGTACTCTGGCTTCCTCCCACAGTAAAAAGACATGCAGCTGGGGGTTAGGTCTATTAGAGATTCAAAATGTTCCATAGGTGTGACTGTGAGCTTAAATGGCTGTTTTTTTCTGCACTGGTGTCCTGTCAAGGATGCACCCCGCCTCTTGCCCTATGTCACCTGGGATTGACTCCAGCCTCCCTCAAAGGACAAACGGTAAGATAATGAATGGATGATTTTTTTTTTTTTGGTCTCCTCAGGTTCTTTGTGAACTTCCCGTCAGCCAAACAATACTTCAGCCAGTTCCAGGACATGGAGGACCCAGAGGAGATGGAGCGAAGCAGCCAACTTCGGCACCATGCCCGCAGAGTGATGAACGCCATCAATACTGTGGTGGAGAACCTCCATGACCCAGAGAAAGTGTCGTCAGTGCTGGCCCTGGTGGGGAAGGCCCATGCTATCAAACACAAGGTGGAGCCCATGTATTTTAAGGTAAAAAAACAAACACTCTCTGGTATAGTTTAGTCTGCCACATTTCTGCTTCTGATTTAGCATATTTCACAGAATTATTGCTGCCAACAATGAGCCTTATGATTACATTGACACATTTGATTGGAGTGCCCATGATATAAAGTAGATTGCTCTCTGAAAGGAAATCATCAGCCTCTCTATTTCCTGCATAAGTAGCATAGTGGAAGTATTTTCCTGCTTCAGCAGCCCCTTGAAAGTACCCTATTCACACCCTAAAGACATTTTCTCATTAACAGTCTTAACACAAGGGACTTCTTCTGCCTATTTGAATCTAGTCAGGCCAAAAATCATATTCCTCTACTGTTCTTATCTCTTTATTATGTTTCAGTTATTATCAGTTTGCACTTGTGGGACATTGTCTGACACACATGAACACACAAAATGTGTCTCACCTGTATTCAGCCAAGTTGAACATGCATTTGGTTCATTGTACAGAACAGTAACACAGTGATGTTCATTTAGGACATCAAAAAGTGCCTTACAGCAGCTAATTGCAGTAATATGTAGTTAAATGTTCAAATCATTTCAGGGTTAGGTAACAGTGCTGATTACCTGTTGAAGCAGAAAAACACCCCATATTTAATTCTTGTACCAAATCAATTTCCACTGTGAAAATCCAATATGCTTCCGTCTTCATATGATTGAATGCTGATGCTTCCCCTCTTCAAGTGTTTTGAATGTCATTTGCAGTAGGTTCATAAATGCAGCTGTGAGGAGAACACGCTGTCACCATTTAAACACCACTGACTTCCGACTGCCTTTAGAATATGTTTTAAGATTTAATTAATCAGTTTGTGAAAAAAATCATGAAATGAATTTGTCCCTCAAAAATGGCCCAAATTGAAAGATGTAAATGTTTCTGCCTTATACTGTGCGAATATATATTTGATTGTTTCTGTTTATTTAATTTCATCATCAGATAAAGAGACTCACCGTTAAGTGCTCAGCAAGTTCAGATGTAATGGCTCCACTGATAATGACATCAGTACTGAGACATATCTTTTACTCACATACTACATTTAACACAGTTTTGTTATTTTATCACTAAATCTCCAATTGAAACTTCTTGTACAGTTAAAGAAAATGTAAATGTTTTACTTTCACCTTATTCTACTGATCCATACATTGTTAAAATGTAAACTGCGGGTAAAATATGAAAGAACTGATTAGAAGGGTAAATGTTGGAAAAATAAATGACTGCACTATAAGGTTACTTTCTTTGAGGGGGCAGTTAGCTAAATGATTTTGATTCTCTGATTTCAGTTTATTTGATTTCTTTTTTCTTTTTTTTCCTGTTTTCTCTTTATTTGTGATAAACTTAGAAATCATATGATTCCAGTTTTAGATTTCAACATAGAACACTTCATTGTAGCGCTGCTTAATAAGTACAAGTCTCCTTGAGGGTAATTTTCAGTATTTATCTTTTCAGTTATTCTGTTTTTAATTGCTGAAATGTTGCACTGGTGGCAGTTAAGCAAAGGGAATTCAATTGTTAGTTGATAGTGTAGTTTTGTGGCTGCTATAGAACTTTAGAAGCTTTGCCTTTTTATCGAATTGTGCTATTATTTCATCAGGAAAGAGGGACAGCGTTTTAATGTCAGGTGTGAACAGACGAACGTAGTGCACTTGTGATGGGACCTTTTTTAGTGGATGTTAATAGCAGGTCTGAACGGGGCCTTTATCTCGTCCCACAAGCCAAACGTCCTTCACTATTAAGTACAAGTTGTTCAGAGAAGCAATTTCTGCTTGTAGTTTACAAAGGTTAGAAAGAGTGAGTGTTTTTAGTGGAAGTATAAAGACTAGTGCAGCTGAAGATCACAATTCTTTTTCTTAATGAGGTCCAGAACTATGGTTTTCTTTGACTGGGCTGAAATAAACTTTGTGATTGCTGATTTTTAAATGTTCAAAACACAGTATACAAGTCAAAGTACTCCTGATGCTGCATGTTTTTTTCTGTGATGTAATACTTTTGATACGAACTCACCATTTTCACTCCGACTAAAGTGCATATTTACACCATTTTAAATTCACTGTTGACCAAATGTAATGTAAGAAAAATGTGTTTTAGAGAACCAAATAATGTGGAGGATATTTTAATACTCATAAAGAACATGAAGGATACCAATGTTTAATATGAGGGTATTTAAACATACAGTAGAAATGTATTGTTCAGGTGAAACATGTGGCAGCCATCTTTTTTTTATTCTCATCAAAAGTCTTCACAGAAAACAGTTTGTAAATTTGATAATCATTAAAGTTCAGAGAGGGATCCTGAAGTACGATGTGTCAGTCTCCAGGACAGTTTGTCTTGTTCAATACAAAACCCTGAAACGTGATTTTATATTTAATTAGACTCACGCGAGGTCGATGCAGTTGTGTTTGTGTGTGCAGCCTGTTTATAATGATGAGAAGTTACAGGGATATTGTCGTTCATTGTAACTGCCAAATACACTGGTGATTATGGGGCTTTATTTTTTTCCTGCAATGGTAAAACTGACATTTCATTANTTAGGCATTTCTAGATTTTCTAGAGTTTATATTATTTAACACTTTTGGTGGTTGAATCTCGTTTCACTTTCTAATTTAATAGTTACAACTTACAATAGTCATTTAGATTCTGGATTATATTGACCAAACATAAACTGATTGATGAATAATTAATATTTTTTGCCACTTAGGAGCAGTAGAGACAAACATTGACACTGTTAAAGCTGAGGCTGTTTGACACATCCAGCAGTTAAAGAGCAACATTATGACTCATTTAATGTGGTGTTTCTGGCCACTTGTGAATGAAAGTGTGTTTGTTACATCCTGTTACCTTGGTCTTTGCAAGAAAAAAAACAAGCATTTGAAGAGTACCAATATCTATGAACAAATTAAATATGGTGATGATCCAGATGATGTTCTTTGATCTCAATACATGCATACACATTATGGTGATAAAGTGCAGAGGTATGAACTCTAGTTTTCTTCTAGTTATTATGATATTTTTAAGCTTCTTTCTTGACCTTGCAAACAACAAAAAAACTCTTAACAAAAGGTGCAACTTATTTATTTTTCCTAAACTTTTCAGCTCTATCTCATGGCCTTCTTTAATAGATTAAGTTGCTCAGGTATCATGAAGAAGGAGGTTTCGCTAGAGTTTGGCTTTTTGGTCACATAATATCAGGCTGTTATATGTGGCGGACTGGTTCCCTGGATGGCCACTTGACAGCATAAAAAACATGAAGGAGGCTGCTGACAGTTGACAGCGGCTACAATTTCACCTAATGTGACAACCACCTGTAGATCACAGTTTAACAACCAAATGTGGTTAACCCCATCAGTACAAAATTTTGGACAGACAAAGTAAATTAATATTGTGTTGAAAACCTTTTCCCAAAATGTCCTCATACATCACTGATACTGTTTCATTGCTGTGTTTGAAGACTGTTGTCCACAAACCACATTGCCTCTGCTTTCCCTTTCTATCTACTACTTTTTCTCTGCCCACCTGTGTCATCCTTTTCTCTCTACTTTTCCTTTTCATTCCCTATGTATTGCCTGCCTACCCACTGCTTTCATGTTATACTGTTATCATTTTCAATTCTCACCTGTCTCGCCCACTTTTCTGTAATGGTAAAATTGGACTCCGCTGTACCTACTGAGTATTGTCTCTCTGCATTACTTTCTCCTCCCTCAATCTGCCATTATCTTGGTCATCAAATATTTTCACTCTATCTAACCTACTCTCTTACTCATCCCATTTTCCTTATTTTTTTTCTATTCAATTCAGTTCAGTTTTATTTGTATAGCACCAAATCATAATATAAATTACCTCAAGGCTTTTAACACGAAGGTCAAGACCTTAAAATCTTATTTAATATAGAGAAACCCAACAGTTCCAACAATGAGCAGCACTTTGGTGACTGCGTAGAGGGAAAACTCCCTCATTAACTGGAAGAAACCTCTAGCAGAACCAGGCTCAATGCGGGTGGTCATCTGCCTCGACCGGTCGGGGTGAGCAGAGAAAAATGGGGAGGAGAGGGGAGATGGGTGGAAAAGAGGGGAGAAAAGAGTGAGAGCTAGTGGGTATGGGATATGTTGATTATGTTTCTTTTTGATCCTCCACTCTTCCCAGATCCTGAGCGGTGTGATGCTGGAGGTGTTGGCTGAAGATTTCCCTGAATTCTTCACAGCAGAGGTGCAGATGGTGTGGACCAAACTGATGGGGGCAGTGTACTGGCACGTCACAGGGGCCTACACAGAGGTGGGCTGGCTCCAGGTCTCCAGCTCAGCAGTTTGAATAATCAACAAGAAGAGGAGGGTAAAGGAGTTTCTAATGGACTTAATGAAATGAAAAAAGGAAAACGGTTTGGTCGTGATCATGTAAAATGAGGAAGTAGACGAGTGTGTTTAAAGGATTGTGTAGGGATGGTTCCATAGACATGGATGAGATTAACGTGGTAATCCGTGCAACTCTGTTCTTTCCTTTGGTGACATTTTGGTGCTAAACCTTTGTTGCTGTGGTGTGTCTGCACTGCACTTCCCAGAAATCACTTGGATACAAACAATGTAGCCACATGTCATTTAACTTTACTTATGAAATATTACTTTGTGTAAGTGGTGCTTTGGAGTTTATTTACAGCCACTGAGGCGATCAGTGCAAATGCTAACTATCGTGTTCTCTCCTCTAAAAAAAAACTCTAAAAACTTCTACCAAAAACATATAATACTTCACTTCCTCTGTAGCATGGGATCTTCCCGATTAACAATAGAAGTGCTCAGACATATCCAAAAGCTTTAATGGACTAGTAGATGTTTTTCTGTGCAGGTCTGTAACTTTCATTAACAATTGACCTTTCAATAAGCTCCACCTGGCCTGTTACTGGGCCTGTCAAGCTTTCGAGTTTACCATAGCACATACTATTTACAATGATGACAAAGTACTAATTTAAATTCTTTGTAATGCCTTTTCCTTGACTATAGACAGAGATAAACAAAAGCAGGCAAATAATTAGCTAGCTGACTTTGCCATTTGTAATACAATTATTGGTAGAAGATTTCAGCTAGCATGATGCAGGTTAAAATTTTCAATTGCTGACTTTTAAAAGGTTTAGAAAACTCTGTGAAATGGTTTCAAATATCCACTTCCGCAACTTAATCATGCTAATAGACAAAGCTAAAAATAATGGTCCATGATTAATGAAGAAGAAATCAAAATAAGTGGAGCTGGGTAGCAGTAGCATTATGGTGAAGCATGAAAGAGACAATTCAAAGGAAAACTATTGTATTATAGTAAATTCTTTTTAAGGAAAATGGAAAAGGACCTGGCTACCAAATTTGGAAAATACTACAAAATGTAACTTCAACATGTAACCTGACGAAATAATGGTTGTTTGAGGTCACCACTGTATCTAGTAGGTTAGTTAGGACTAGTTTATAGTTAGGAAGACATGCTAATGTTTAGAGCAGTTTTAATACTGTTAAGCCATTCTAAACTTGACAGGCGTGCTACCTAAGCTATGACTGGACAATCACTGTTCAGGGTAGGGTTTTCATGAATGGTCACTTCGGGATGTCAGGCACAGACATTTATTTAAACAGAAATGTTTTACGGATTATTACTTTACAGAGTTCATTTCTGTGGAAACCTGGTGGTGAGAGAAGCGTCTCCTGCCTGAGCCACACAGATAAATACACCTCAAGATATTTGAAAATGAGAGATGTTGAGACAAGGAATGATTTTCAAGCTTTTGGAGGGGGCAGTTAGTTGTTGAAGCCCCGGCTATGGGACCATGGAGCTGCTGACTGTTAATAGATTCTCTTTGTGTCCTAATACAATATATCCTCATGTTTAGGGGACCTGTGCCCCTTTAAATCTCTATTGATACATTGTGTGCTCTTAATGTCTTGTTTAACTTTACTGAGGTGTTGTTTGTATAAGTGTACAGTGGGCAAGTGTGCATACTCTTCTGCCTTTGTTTACACCTCATTGGCACGTGGATCTGTTGATGTGTTCAAGAGGGCTTTTTTTTCTTGGCTAAACTCTTGGATTTGCAACAACTCTTTAAGTTTTTTTTATTTTTTATTACTTACACCAGGAAAATATCAGCAGGTAGACACATATAGTAACCATACATGTACAGATTCACACACAGGCATGCTATGAGACCACCTCTGCGGTAATATTTACAGGACTGTCACTTAGTTTACATCTTCAAAATACCATCAGAGAGATGTGCTGCATTAAAGGCTCCATTAAGGGCTTTAAAATCTCACTTTGGAGCTCTGCGGAAAACATGTCAGCTTTAGAAGTGCCATCAGTTTTTTTAGACTTGTGACTAGTCCATCATTAGAAGTTATATCCAAATACATACAAATGTATAACTTGAATTATGCTGCTTACACCCTAACCATTGACTGTATATAAAGATGGATGATGCTTCTACACTTCTGCCCACTGATGAAAAATTAAGCCAAAATACCCCGGATTCGGCTGCAGCTATCTTGTGCTGGTGACGTCATTTGGAGCCAGAGTAGTACTGATTGGGAAGTGGAGCTGTGGCATCAAGGTCCCGCGAAACATGTCTGACCTATTGCAAGTCAATCTCAGCTGTCAATCATGAGGTCTCAAGCCAGGTTTTAGAACATAAGTTAACAAATTGAAATCCAAATGATCAAAAAAAATAAATACTCGGACATACATCACTGTGATAAGAACTACCGTAAATGATAGTAACCAAAATGTATTTTATGTGTATTTAATTTTTTTTGTTTCCATTCCATTAATATGGATGGTACATGGCAGGGTTTATGACCTCTAATGCCACCAGGGGGTGATTGATATGTTTGGATACCTCATTTTTTGGAGCTGTCTTTATCTTTATATCCAGTAATTGGCTCTAACACATGGATTTCTTTTCATATTTGACCAGGTGAATGGTGCAAGTTTGTTTTCTTTGTTTCCTTCGGAAACTCCACCAACATCATATTTATCCATCCTCAAACATGCTGCATACTGTCAAAGTAACTTCCCCTACCTTATTTAACCTCGCCTTCCTGTCACCAGAACTTTGCTAATCAAGAGTCCTTGGTCTGCGTGCGCAGCTGTTTGCAGTCCCCATCTGCGATTCTCAGTCCAGTCAATTCCCAAACATACGCAGCAAATCTGTTTAGGACGGACATTTGATGCAATCTTGAGTTTGCATCTGCTCTGGTGACGTCCTGTATATCCCGTCTGAACTCCCCTTGGCATCAGCATCTGGCATTAATGAGGAAGTAATGAGTCTCCTCTCCTCCTCATTTGCTCATTCATCTACTGTAACTTCCCAGTGCCTCAGTCAGGGCCCAGCGCAGCACTGACAACAATTATGACTGGACAGATGGTCTTAAAGCCACCACACCATGGCACTCATTCACAACAGTACTTAGGAAGATTCTCCCCACTTTAAACATTGTTTGAATTTGCATTAACAAGAGAGATTTTTTGAGAAATTAGACTGCTTCTAATTAGTTAACTGATTAGTTCCTTTGGCATAAGTGCATTTTAAATTTTGCCAAAAAAAAGTCTTTACAAAGAGAGACACTGCTGTATTAACAGTGAACTTGATCCCATGGTTTTTCTTCACCATCAAACATCTGCTGATTCTGTATTTTACTTGTTGTTTTGAATGCATCTTGTTTATCCATGTTGAGTAACATTAAATATGTCCCCTAAAATCTCATGGTAGTTGAATGCGCACGCTAAGAACAGCTATTTGGTAGCTATCTGGTATTTTTCAACCTTCACTCAACTAGAAGTCTCACTTCACTTTAATTGGTGCAGGAAGACAGAGGTGGAAACATGAGTGATAGAGAGATGAATTTATATTTTACTATTATGACTAAATCTTTTTCTGATTTGGACAATGTCAATAGAGCATTGACTTGATGGCTGTCTCTACTTGTTTGAGATGGAATATACAGAGACGAAAGAGCGCCTGCAAATTAAAGGTAGAAACATAGGGCCCAGGTTGAAAAATATCTAAAGTACCTGACTACTTGATATCTACCATTTTGTTTTCTCATAATCTCTACATAGAGTTTTGTTACCTTTAGATAACCAGATAATTAACCTGCCATGATTATCTTGACATAACAAGATAACTTGAGATGACATGATTGAAAACAGATATTGCAACAGTCACTCACAGCTCCAGTATCTGTAAAAACTGGCTACTTGCATCCCACTCTTGCAGAAGTTTATAAAAAGTTCCCATTAAACAGGTGCCAATCACGTTAAACTGGACGGTCATAAGCCTATGCTAGACAATGACAAGTCACACAAGTGGAAAGAAAAACCCACAGAGTCAAACAAACTTCAAGCTGTACCATTTCCACTTTGGATCAAATACATCTGGAGGCTGTAAAGCTGTTGTCAGGCAAGGATGCATTGCAAAATACACACCATTCCGTACTCTTGACGTTCAAGTTCCTTTTGAGGTCAGACCTCATGCAGCCTGAGGTTCAGCAATATTTTTGTTAAGCAGAGTTCTCCTGACGTCTTGTTTATTAAACAGTGTGTGGTGTGAATCCCATTTGTAAACACACTCACACAAGAGGGAGACACTCTTTTCTCGGGAGCTGCGGGTTTCGTGTCCCTTTTTGTCCGTATGCGGCATGTTCTTCACCACACTACACACACTACAAGTTTCTTCTGCTGTTTTTGTTAGGACACGACATGCCTAACTCCAATGCCTAATCTCATGCTAATGAAAGCCAATTATAATTCGAACCATTAAACCAATTTTTCACACCTGCCTTGCTTGGTCCGAACCTTTGAACTTTTCAGTTTAGTCTGAACCAAAATAACAGTTGAGAAAGGTGTATACTATATACGTTTTAAATGACCAGGATGTTCATTTGACACTTTTGAGTACCGTACCTAAAGTTGGTGATGCTGATAGAAGTACCATAATGTAACAAAATGAACTAGTTCATTCATTTCCTCTATTCAAATGGAAAGACTACTACCTGGTGGATTGCCGACACTCCAATGTCAGTAACATGCCTGTCTGCTAACCTATCAATGTCAACTACAGGCAGACGTAGCCCACATAAGTAATGATGATAGGATGCACGTACAGGTATGTGATACACAATTCTTTTGTCCGATACCTAAATTGCAATTTGACACCAAAGCTAACTGTATCAAAGGTAACCAATGTTACAAAGACATGAACCTTGGTTCAGACCATGGTCCAGGCTTTCACCCTTATTAATTGAGGGTCACACAAAACTGAACTACTGCCAATAAACTGAACTAAGAAAAAGAAGAAGAACATCCTCACTTTCACAAATGTCCTCACTCTGTAAGGTTTATCACTGGTCCTTACAAAGATAGAAGTAAAGGTACACTCACACACACACACACACACACAATTATGCACAGACACATCCTGATCACGCTCAATCAATTTCTTTCTCACTTTTCTCATGCAC